CCATACTCTTTGAAACAATGTAAAACTAAAATGTCCAGCATCCAAACAAAAATCAATAGAGGTAAAAGTTAATTTCTTTCCTGTATACCAGCAATAAACAATTGACATTTGAAACTAAAATTAAAAAATATATACTATGTAAAATAGCATTAAAAAATCTTATGTATAATCTGGTTGGTATTTCTCAGTGGGTTGAGCATCATCCCATGCACCAAGTGGTCACCAGTTCGATTACTGGTCAGGGCACATGCCTGGGTCTCAGGCTAGATCCCCAGTAGGGGGCGTGCAGAAGGTAGCCGAATGATGTTTCTCATCGATGTTTCTCATTGATGTTTCTATCTCTCTCCCCCTCTCCTTTCCACTCTCTCTAAAATATCAATAAAATACATTTTAAAAAAACGTATGTATAAATCTAACAAAACATATACAGAAACTGTATGTGGAAAAGTACAAAAGCCTAATGAAAGACCTAATTAAATAGAGATATATGTTCAAAGATTAAAAGATTCAATATTTATAAGATGTCAATTCTTGTGCACTTGATCTATAGAGTCAACGCAATCCCAATCAAAATCATAGTAAGCTATAGATAGCAACAAACTGATTTTAAAATGTATAAGAAAAGGCAAAGAACCAAGAAGAGTCAATAAAATACTGAAGAACAAAGTTGGAGAACAAATCATATTCCGTTATTTCATGATTAATATAAAGCTACAGTAATCAACACAGTGTGCTATTGGTGAAAAAATAGACACATTGATCAGTGGAGAACCCAGAAATAGACCTATGCAATGCAAACATAGTCAACTCATTTTTTATAAAGGCAACTCAAAAAAGAAAGAATTGTATTTTCAATAAATGTTACTGGAACAATTGGATGTCTGTATACAAAAAAACAAAACAAGATGCAGACGTTACACCACACATAAAATATTAACACAAAATTGATTCTAGACCTAATGTAAAACTATAAAACTTCTAGAAAATAACACAGGAGAAAATTTAGGTGACCTTGGATTTGGGGGTGTTTGTTGTGTTTTTTTTTTTCAATCAAAAGCACAAAATCCATGAAAGTAGAAATTAATAACCTGAACTTTACTAAAATTAAAAGTTTTGCATCGAGAAAGAAACTGTTAAGACAATGAAAAGAAAAGTCACAGGCTAGGAGGAAATATTTGCAAATCACAGATCTCTTAAGAAGTTATATACAAAGAATTCTTAAAAGTCAGCAATAAGAAAACAACCCAATTTAAAAATGGAGAAAATATCTGAGTAGAGTAGACAGTAAGATATAATATCAGTATATTAAAGAAGATATACCGATGGCAAATAAGCATATGAAAAGATGTTCAACATTATCATTAGGCAATTGCAAATTAAAACAATGAGATACCACAATACATCCTATTAGAATAATTAACATCCAAAAAAACAAACAATACCAATTGTTGATATGACTATGAACAGCAGGAACTCTCATTTATAGCTGTCAGGAATAGGATTTTAAAAATGCTCTCGCACTCTGAATGACTTGTGATGGATAAACCTGTGGTGCATTCATACCATGGAATATTACTCAGCAATAGAAAATAAATGAGCTAACAAGAAATACACACACACACACACACACACACACACACCACCCTCAGATACATTCTGGTAACATAGGTCTATAGTAAAAGGAAAAAATAATGTAAGGAAAAAGTTTAAAAGCTTCAAAAGAAGAAGAAGAAAAGCAGATTGCCTACATGGAAATGGGCTTATTTTGATATCTGAATTATCAACTATAATGGGTGCTAGAAAGTATAAAGGCAAAGCCATCAAACAGAAAATTATTTTGAGACCAGAATACCTACCAAATGAGCAATCAAGTGTGAGGGCAAAACAAACACATTTTCAGGTATTTGAGGACTCAGATATTTTATCTTCCATTTACTGTTTCTTGAAAATTATTTGAAAACACAATCCAACAAAACGATCCATATACGTATACAAAAAAGAGGAAGATGTGAAATCCAAAAGAATTCAAATAACACACTAGTTCAGTGGTTCTCAACCTGTGGGTCGCGACCCCTTTGGGGGTCGAACGACCCTTTCACAGGGGTCGGCCTAAGACCATCCGAAAACACATATAATTACATATTACTTTGTGATTAATCACTATGCTTTATGTTCAATTTGTAACAAAGAAATTGGGGGTCACCACAACATGAGGAACTGTATTAAAGGGTCGCGGCATTAGGAAGGTTGAGAACCACTGCACTAGTTCAATTTTTTTTTTTTTTAAAAAGTCCCAGATAACTGTGCTCAGGAAGCTACATATTAGTGAAAATTAAAAGAGGAATTACCCAGTCTTTAAGGGAAAAAATGTTTTCAAAAAGTAAGCAATTTGCATTTATTAAATAGTGCAGTCAAGCTAGAAAATTTTGAGGATCTGTGTGCTTCCTCTGTTTAAAAAATTAACTAGAATTTTTAAAACAAGTTGATGAACATTACCATCCAAATATGAATTAAAACAAATTCTGGTGTCATTTTAGGTAAAATCTGAGCATGATTTATAATGTTAAAAAAAGATTATTTTTTGCTATTGTGGCAGCTTCTATGTCACAGAATTATATTTCCTTTTCTATGAGTCTATTTGTACTACTTGGTTCTGCAATATTTCTTAATCATAATAGTAAAAACAACAACACTAATAACACTTAATATACAGACTATTCTAAGTCCTTTACATTTATTAGCCAATTTAGTCGTCTTGCCCAAGGTCACCCACTAGTTAGTGAACCCCAGCCTTCTGGTTCTAGAATACGTGCTCCTGCCTAAACACTGGCTACTGTGCAGAGCCAGCTCAGCCAGAACGCAAGCCTGAGGGAGGGCGGTGAAAGATGAAGAAAAGACAAAGAGAATAAGCTGGGGTGGATCTTCCTGTGCCTGGCTGAGGCCAGAGAGAGATCCAGAGGCAAGCTGAGCCTTTATTTTATAGCCAGAGGTAAACAAGGTAGTGGTCACCATAGTTACAATGTTCTTGTGAGTTTCACTTGTTTTGGCAGCACTTGCTGCACCTCCCACAGCGC